GAAAAATAGATTTAAATATTTTCGATGAAAATTTCCTCCTATCAATTTTCATCGAGTCTCCGCTACTTTTTTTTCTTTTTTTTTTTTTTCATTAAAACCTTTGATGTTTTTTTGACCATCGCCGAATAATTTCCCGTTTATTTTTGTCGCGTTAATTGAACGATGAAAATTCGCTCGATATCGAAAGAGGCGAGGAAAATGGGGCGCGATCGCCATTTATTAACGGAATATTTTAACAGATTTGAGGAAAGGGAAGTTTGGCCCGTTACAATGGAGTTACGAGTCGAGCCGTCAACTTATAAATCAGCGGTTTCGCGCACGCTGCGTGGCCGTGTAATTCGATTACTCCATTTAACGCAAAACTCTATTACAACGAACGTATTATCTCGATTAACCGCGCGCTCATTATTCCACCGTTTGATTATTGAAACGTGGCGTCGTTCGAACACCCTATCTATATCCATACGTGGATAATCCACGTTGATCGGACGATAATTAATCGAAATATCTCGCTCGATAAGTAACCGGTGAATGCGCGTAACACGACACGTGACTGAGAATCGTAGGTCGCGTGGCGACCTACATATATATATATATATAAACGCAAACGTCTTTATCGACGTTTCTCGCGTCGTTCGCTCGAGTTCGACAATTCGACGCTCGATCCCAGGATACGTGGAAAGGAAAAAACATTCGCGTCCCGTAAACCGTTCGAGGAGGTCGTGAACGACGAGTCGCAGTTTCGAAACGCGGGCACACATTACGGAAATGCGGAAAGTTGGGAACGCGATTCGAGCAAGGAAATAAACGGGAGTTGGTTCGAACACGGACGACTACGTATGGAAGGCGATTATAAACTTGGACTGGAAGCGAAACAACCGAAACGTGTCCATTCTACTCGCCAAGGTATACATACATATACATATATATATACTCGCCGATGCTCGCCACTTATTGGCCAAACATCCGTCATTCGTTTCGCGTTCTAAAAGTCCCCGTCGCGACACGGTTTTCACGTGTACGTACGTGTTGGAAATGACTCGCAATCGCCATTTACGCGATCCACCGTAAAGTTTGCCAATATTTTCAAAATGGTGGCGGGAATATCTAGGTCGTTGGCGATATAGCCGGCCACGAATGGATTGTAAACAATTGTGACCGATAACCGGGGAAAGGAATTTAACGCTGGCACGGTAAATGGAAATGGGTAACCAATAATTGGAGAGAAAGCGACGAAAAAAGGTCCCTTGGTATTATTTTATCTTTCGTCCAATCTCACTTCGCCCGGTAAATATTGATTTAATCGCGTAATTGCGTATATTTCCTTTCGATTTCCAGACTCTTGCTCTTCCTTCCCAAATTTATCCACCTATTTTAAACTCTCTCTCTCTCTCTCTCTCTCTTCTTTCCGCTTGTTTCCTCTTCCAGAAGGAAGCCAGCCGTCGAGACGAAGGAAAAACGAGCGTTGGGATTCGGGGATCCTTAGAAAGGATCTGATCTCGTAAAGGTAATGACCAATACTCCTCGTCCTCAGACGGACGACACGTTTCACCGTTTCGAAAGCGGCCGTCGTGGTGATAAACATTGGCTGGGTTGGCGAGGTTTACGGGATGGGAAACGCTTTGTGCGTCAGGCGACAATATCGGACGATGGCGACGATTAAACTTTGATTCTCGTCTACGGTTTCGCGATCCGTCTCACGGGAACGAAATACGGTCGAATGTTCGGCTGTTTGACAATCGATGATGGCCGCGTTTGAGCCGCATTTCCATTCGAATCGAATCGAATCGTGGACAAGTTGGCTTCCACGACCGACCTTTGATTCCCGCCGAAATCGAAACGAGTGTCGTCTCTCGTTCACGCACCCGCGTTTCCAAAAGGGATTCCATCCCGTCCCATTGCGTTTGCTGTAGGAAATTGATTCCTTCCTCCTCGCGTAAACGCGACGAATTTATACCTGAATTTATCCCCGGACGAGCGACAGTTTCCGAGAGTTCGATCAAGTTTTTTTTAACCCTTTCGCTCCTACGATCGACTATAATCGCTCTGCATAAGATGCTACTCAGATACTACGGTCGATTTTCTTTTTTCAATAAACACTGTCAATAAACAACTCGAAACGATCTTTCTCGAGCACCGTGCACATTTTTGGCGGAGAAGTGGCCCGTAGCGAAAGGGTTAATTAGATACACGCGTGTCACGAGAGAGAGAGAGAGAGAGAGCGAGGGGACGATTCGATTACATCGAAGTTGTACTTAAAAGTTGGTTAAACCGAGGCCGGAAATAATAACAGGGATGAAAAGTGGGCCACGGCGGATGATATGGAGGAAATCCGTGTCCCGGCATAAAAAACAGCGACCCTTTCCTCGTTCAACCTCGTTCTCTAATTTAACTTGTAAGAAAGGTGGCGAAAGGGGTGGCCAGGCGCAGATATCCATCCACTTTCGTGAGCCGCTGCCATCGCATAACTTTCGTGATGCGCTTTCGTGATCTCACGGATAATGGGGCCAGGGAGTCGGACGGGCGAGACCAAGCCAAGAAGGGAGAATACGTCGTGTTCGAACGACGTATCCGGCCAACGACTGATTTATATCGATCTAAGAGCGAGCCACCCAGCCTCGGTTAGTTGGTCGCTGGAATTCGGCGAACTTCTGCCGCGGATCAACTCGCCGCGAGAGGGTTATTGCCGTTTCGAGTGACGATAACGATCGCAAGATTTACGCTCTCGTGGAACGCCCTCGTTATTTAAATCGGCCAACATTGTTCCGAACGATCGGCTCAACGTCAAGCGAGCTCGAGTGGACGCGCGTGTCGAGAGGAGGAAATTTATTATTCGTTGTTATTCTCGAAATTTCGGGAACACGGAGGGGATGAAAATCGTTCGTTTGCAAGGTTTGAATGGAAACGAGTGGCGAGGGCTTAGATTGGAGCACGAAGGTGGTATGCCATGGTATGGTATTGGGATAAGGAGCCACCGCTTTGATGTTTAACTTGGAAACACCGCAACCACGAGTATTATTATCCAAGTATTGTTGCTCGGTCGATAGACCGCGACATCTAAAATTATGGAATCGTTTGACCAATATATAGGCTCATCTTTGCGATGTTTCACTTTGTAATCCACGAATATCGAATTCGTGGGTTATTAGCGCAATACTGTGAATTTACGAGAAACGTCGAATCGAGTGTGATTCAGTTTCTCTGTAAATTTTGATCAAAACTCGTCTAGGAGTAATTTCAAACTAGTAGGTTAATGAAATCGATGTTCTTTCTCCTTATCGTAATATAATTGATTCTTCGTTCTTACCAAACTTTGGCAGACCCCGTGTTTCCGTGTATCGCGTTCTCGACTCCTCGAAAAGGAATCTTTAAACAGCGTAATTTATTCGAGGGTATCGTTCGTGGACGAAAAGTCGTAAAATTGTATATTTCTTGGTACTTCGAGGTGAAAGCCACTTTATGGCTCTTTGTTTTTCCCTTCCCTTCGACGTGCTTTCATACGTATCCCTCTAAATTCACGGTCTATCGATTCGTACGTACGCCTTCCATTCGTTTTCATCATTCGTGAAATCCTTCCAATCCCGATGAAACTTTATCCCCTTTAAAGGATACACGATGGAATTAAAACCGTTCCATTGATTTTTCGCTATAATTATAAGATATTCACGCTCTGTAAATAATTACGGAGGGAAACAATAATCTGATTCTCGATTCTTTTGCGGATGTGGAATTCTAGACGTGGAAGCTCCTTTGTCGAGCTATAACAGCTGCGCTATTATCGTCTTGCGTATTCCGCTTCACTCTTGCTCCGTGTCTTTATATACACAGTGCAAACATGGCACGCTGGCTTCTCGAATCACTTCCCCATTCTCTCTTGCTGCGAAATGATTTCAAGCTTGGTAATTAATATTTAACGACGAGATAGCATCGCGGACCGATTTTATCGCGTTACGGCGATAAAAATGCGTGCAACGCTTTGACGCAAGGATATCGAAACTTCTCTTCTCGGATATTATTAATTCACAAGGAAGAGACGAATAAGAAATTCTCCTTTCTGAAAGAAGAAAAATGAAATCAAAAGTCAGAGCTTTAACTTAGGAATCGCCATCGAGCGCGATTACGAGTTTAAAAATTAATTTTCCCGAACGACGCGTTCAAGTATGTTAAAACTTGGAAGGTTTAACTTTGGCCTTTGTTAAACTTTTGTCCAACGTTAATGGACGATCGAAATCGAGGCACGAACCTGTTCAAACTCTCTCTCTCTCTCTCTCTTTCTCTCTCACGCAATTTTCATTTACCTTGTTGTCATTAGCCAACGAAATTTCTAATTATCCTCGAAGAAACTCGAGTAATTTAAAACAGGTGAAGAGCTTGAGAAAATCGATCTAATTAATTACCACGCAAGAGGAATCGAAACTCTCGAGAGTGATTCGCGTGGAAATACTATTTTCATTCATAGAAGAATGTCTGACTCATCCAGTTCTTTAATTTACAAAACGACATCGAGAATGAGCCTCTTCAAAACTCTCTGAACACGATTCCACCGTTTAATTTGCCTTTCTGCCAGGCGCATCTTCTCTTCCCTTCCATCATTCCATCTCGAAGTGGTACAACAAATTCTCGAAACTTACTAGATCTATCCTCGTTAAAAAGAACCTTGCTCCGCCAATTTATCATGGTTTCCATTAACTGATAAAGTTTTAACGAAACATCGATTCAAAGTATAATCGAGTTTGAATATTTAAACAACTTTAATGGACGTTTACTTTTCACGACGCGCCTCGAAATAATCGATAATAAAGGATATAATTTCCCCATCAAATTTAATGCGTACGATTGATATTCCATTATTATAAACCGCGTCTTTGTTCATCGCAACGCTGTTCGAAAGTGCAATCTTCCTCTTTTAACTACCTCTCCCCCCCCCTCCCCCTCGTCTCTCGTTTTATCGCGACGTGGGATGCATCGTATCTATCCGACGAAGGAAAATATAGCGACACGTAATATTAACGCGTCAAACCCTTTTTATACAACGGATTTGCAACGCGTGAGAGTAATGGTTTTTTTCAATATTCACCGAACGAGCCATTACACGGTAAAGCGAAAGAAGGATCGAGGTTCAAAGGGAAACACCTCGAGCGTTTCAAACACGATTTTATTTCGACTGAATGGGGCGTCTATACCGAGGCGCGGGTAAACGGACTAATTGCGTATAATTAAATAACGACCGGTTGAAACTAACCACGGACCATTTAGCCCGGGAGTGGTGGTGGGGATGGAAAGAAGAAATTCATTCGAACAAACCAAGAGCGCAACCGTGCTCCGTCCGTGGCTGAATTTCTTTCGAACAATCGATCCTGTTGTTCGAAGGAACGATTAATAAAGAACGCGAACGGAATAAAAATCACCCTTTTTCAATCAACCCTCCTCCCCCCTCCCTCTCTGTCCAACGAGAGAAAGAAACACCTTTTGAATAGAAACAGCGCTATTTCTAGGGATTGAAAAATTTCACCAACGCTGCAAATTATTATTGGCGTGTTAACAGTTGTAGGGAGAAAGGAAATTGTCGAGAAACTCCCTATTCGGTGAAAGCACGCTTCAACTTTAACCGAGATCTTTAACTTTGATCCATGTTTTTTAACGATCGTTACAACCCCAACGTCGTGTTCAAACTCGAGAACAATTTCGGTCCGGCATTGTGGGCACGAAATTCTATAAAGTAAGCGCACGATCAAACATCCGGAACATTTCCCAGTCGCAGTTTCACAAAGCAAGATTCTGCGAATACTTGGAGGCAGGCAGGCCGGCCTGCCGGCTGCCCCGCTTCTCTCGGGCCACCGGAGGATATATACTTTTGGATTGAATCGCAATTTCAAGCGAATGCCTATTAAAAATATCGTCAAAGTAATTATTTGGCGAGCGTTGGAAATGTAGGAAGAAAAAAGGGGAAGCGAATCGATGAAAAAAATATATATATATATACACAACGAAGCGGCGAACAAAGGGTTGGAGTGGAAAGGAAGGGTGAAGAGAAGCGAAGAACGCCGACAGCGGAACAACGCTTCGTGGCGCTCAGCTTGAAAGCGGATGTTAAAACATTCCGAACGTTCCCGGCGTCGAATCCTCTTAAACACGATCCCGGCATCAAACGCTTTAATTATTGGACGACGGAAACCGCGGCCAACGATGAAAAGAATTCCATCGCGAATTCCGCGGGCGCGATCAAGCGGTGAATTAAGGGGGCCAAACTTACCCACTGTGAAACATTAATTGTTGGAATGAACCGAGGCGCTCGTTTCATGAATAAGTGGTTGTCTAACTGCGGACAAAGGAGGGAAGAGAGAGAGAGAGAGAGAGAGAGAGAAGGAGGAAGTCGGGAGAAGAAAAAGATGCCGAGTGCGGAAGATCTGGAAGAATAGGCTCCAGGACATAGCCGGTGGTGAATATGTTTTATTCAAAAGCGTTCTTCCTCATCCTCTTTCTGCTACTCTGCGCAAGAATTTAAGGAAGGAAAAAAAAAAAAGAAAAAGGAAAGAAAAAGGAAAAGGGAAATACGAAGATCGTGCCATTTCACGCTACCTGTCGTTTAAACACCGTTTAACAATGTATAATTCGATCGTTTATTTACCGTGGAAATGTAGTACGCGTACGTTCGTATTAAATACCATTGCTGTTTCCCTTTTAGAGCATCCTCTGAGTAAGCTTGCAAGCTCGGTTGTATGCATACAAGGCGTGCATACCGGAATTATAAACGCCGAGTTTAGCCGAGGGTAATGCTACTCGGCGAGATGGCGAGAACAAATTGCCAGTGTATTTATACAAATTTTATCACCTGCGCATCCTCGAATTCGTTTGTTACTCGTTCATGTTGCACCATTCCGATCTATCCGCGATCTCCCTCGCGAAAATTGGCCCCGGTTTCGAGAGATTTTTTCGAGATTTTTCAATCTTTCAAATTCGACAACTTTTATAAACGCGATGAAATTAATTTGATGAAATTATCAGGGATTATTCCCGATTAAACACACGCCGAACCAACGCGCGATTCAACTATTACGAGTTTCCTCGATCCCACGCTCGTGAAACTGAAAATTTATCCATCACTCGAGTAAACAAGATCGTTATAAATGAGATCACGACCTCTTTTCCCCCTTGCCCGGGAATAAAAACTCGGGATATCTCATTGTTCTCGGCCCACCCTTAGCCACGATAATTCCCATTTTCCAGAAAAATAACGATCATCCCTAACGATGAACCCAGAATTCCCTTTTCAAATCGTACGTTGCACACAACGTGCACAATCGTAATACACTTGTGATTGATGAGCCGATCGCGTGCCCCCCCCCCTTTTTTTTTTGCTTCAGGTTCCGACAGCAAGATGTCCGATGTTGATGGACAACCGTATACAACGTTATTGTACAGCAACGGCCCCGGATACACGCAGCCAAGGAATATTTTACGAGAGGCTGGCAAGGATTCCATTCAGGTAAAGGAAAAAAAAAAAAAAAGAAAAAGAAAAAGAAAAAAAAGCGAGACAAGCCTCATATTCTCGCGTATAGCAAGATATACGCGGCCGTGTTTATTGGATCGGAAAATGATCGGGGTGAAATATCGGGGGCACGTTTAAAAATCCATCACGCTTTGTGGAGGGGTTCATTCGCGAAATATTCGATGGAACTCTTTCCAACTTCATATATTCCATCCTCGAACCTCCTCCATCCGCCCTCTCCTTCACACCCCCTTCCTCCCTCTTCGTTTCCGAGATTCAACGCTCACCGATGATCGCTCGCTCTTCCGACCTGATAACTTTTAATCCGACCGCGAGTCACTGATCTTTTTCTGATTCAAATACGCTTGAAATATAGTCGGCAGAAGAGGGATATACGCCTATCGTATTCGTACCTTTTCCAATTTCGGAATTTCGCGATTTCCAGCGTGGAGGAAACGTGGAGAATTTTAGAAATTTCGAATGAGACGACAAGGAAGATCGTGTCGAAAGCAATATCGTTTTTATTTACCACGAAACACAGTTCGTTGAAATAGAATCTCGTAATCGATATTTATATGATACAACGAGCGAGATAAAGTAGAACTTTTTTTAAGAATGTTCTTGCTGTTCGATTAAACGAGTTCCATTTTATAAAAAACTTACATTGCAACGTATTTGCAACGATATTAAACGCGTATCCTCCCCGATAAGCAGGTGATTGGTTCAACTTTTTTTCAAACGCGTTACAAGTTCAACGACACAAAGAGACTGGAAATATTAAAAATCGCGCAAATAGACCCATTCTTTCTCCGTGTTCGCTCGATCAATGGAATTTTTCTTCTATCGTAATATTAGTAATCGTGCTCGAAAGGGTCGATTGATCGAGCGTGGAAGGAAATTTCGCCCGGTTGTGTGTTAATTAATGTGGAAGCCGTTCTCCCGCAATGGAATTCTCTGTGTTTCTCTTTTCCTGTTTCTGGCAAAAAAAGAGAGAGAGAAACGCGATTCACTTCTGATAAAATAAATGGTAACCTAGTTTCGCAAAAATAAAGCGCGTTTTCATAAGACTTATGCAAAAGAGGAGGAAGAAAAATTGGAACAAGTGGGTTAGGGGAAAAACGAATGAAACAATAAGAGTTTCACGTTCATTAAAGTGACCGTTCTCTTTGCGATACGGTCGTAAATGCGATTCTTCGTCATTTTTCACGTTGCATCCTCGAAAATTTTCCCTATCGGGGGAAGAGCAGCTTTGTTTTTTTTTTTTTCAGGAGGATCGAGAAATGATCGCGAATGAACGAGATAAGCAATAATCGTTGACACCACGTTTCGAAATTTGTAACACGTGCTTGAGAACGAACTTTCTTCCCTTGCCTCGGGATAGAAAATCGATATTTACGAGTCCTGGTTCTTCTGAGACTTCCTATGTATGCGCATGTACATTGTATAAAATGGTTGGAAAATTGTTTGATCGAATAACTTTCCCCCTCAATTGCCACGATATCTTTGAAACACGCGTAACAACGTTTGTACAAGTTTTTTTTTTTTTTGATTTAATAAAAATATCCTTTACATTATATTATTTTTAATAATTCAAGAGCGGCGTTCTACATTTTATTTAAAGTTTGAAAATATTTTATCAATGTTCCAATTCGGTGGTGAATTAAATTTCGCTTGTTTTACAACGATTTTATCGATGCAACGATTATTTCATGCAAATCGGGATGGTTATCAAAGTAAACTTATTCAAATGACTATTTTAAACAAATTTTTTTATTCAAATCACCCTTCTTTCTTTACTTTCGTGTTATATTTCATTCTCGAGAAAAATAAATGTAGTATCTCTTAATTCTGTGATCACATTTCTCGTATTTTCGCTCTCCTCGCATCTGTCCAAAAAAGAATTCGACCAAAAATCACACGAATTTCTCTCGAATTCTCCACAACAAAGAATCGTTTCGAGTAAAATCTTTGACTCGTCTTGAATGATAACGTTTGATCCATCAGATTATATTCAATCGTGCGTTGTTTATCCAGTGCTGGACATGATTCCTGTTCATCGTCGAGGACACGTCGCCTCGAGAATGGCTGGAGTCGAATGGGTCTATGATGATGAATGACTATTGCACTGCTCCGCGATATTTAAGCTTCCCTCCCTGGTGGATAATAATTCGAGCAGATATCGTAACAGAGTAGATTTCGGTCACAATCGTGGAAGGGATCGTAAGAGAAGTACTTCTCCCCTTGGGATTGCCACGACGGCTTTTTAACCTTTTCCACTGTGCACTTGTAACTGGCTCGTTTGTATAATTTATCGAAGAGAAATTCTTTTTTCTTCTTCTTTTCTTAGTTCGTATTAGGAAACTGAAGCGTTCATTTATTATTCATTTCACCGTTACTGGAAGAAGAGTTTTAGTTGGTTTTCTCGACGAGGGATGATTTTTAATACAGACTTGTTAGACTTGTTAGTAATTTTGTTGATTCGCGAAAGAAGAAATTGTGAGAAATTTGATATTTTTTCTTTCTTTCTTTTTTTTTTTTTACTTGCATTTTTTTGCGTGTGTCTACATTTCGTTCATTTAATTACATGAATAATTCGTTGCCTTCAAATTGGAGGCGGAATAAGCCGAAATGGGATGAAGCCGCATAAAAATGGAGAGAGACATTTTTCGTGCGAACCTTTATTTCGACATAAATCGATGTTGGAAATTCGTCGAGTATATTCGTGGTAACGCGTGATCCGTGATGCTCGCTTCCTGTGTTCGAAATTATTACATTCGTTGGGGAAAGGTGAATGCCAAAATTTTTCTTGCTTAAATAATTGATAAAGCTATTTCGATACTTTTATTAATAATATCATACGTGTAACGTACTTCCATCTACTTTTTGATTCACGCTTTTTTTTCTCTTATACCTTCGAAAAGAATGTTAATTTAATTTTTATCATTTTCTTTCAATAATAGAGATACGTGTGTAATAATTTGAACATGGTGGCGTATTAGATTAATAAAAAAAAAAAAAGAAAAAGAAAGACACTCCATTTTAAAAGTACAAAAAAATTTTTTGGGCTTTTCCGTAAAATAAAATGGCCACAGATTCCAATGAACGCAGCTAAGCCACAGTAATGGAATTTTTTACAACATATATATATATGTGTGCGTAGTTATAGATGAGAGAAATGGATTTTATTTTTTTCGTATCTTCGAAATCAAAATAAAGGATAATGTTTCATAGTCGATCGAAGTAATAAATTTCAACGAGTACAATTATGAAAAATTTAATGTCGTAAGATGATACAATATTTGTCGATTGGTAAAAATAGTAAATAACGATATCATAATGATTCCATAAAATTTTCACAAGACTTTATTCTATATTTTATAGGTGTAGATAATCCCAGCGAAGCGTACGTTTAATTAAATGCTCGTATTTGATTAGTGCGTGTACTTATTGGTAAATTCGGTTCACGAAGCGCTAAACGCTTTGGATTTACCTGTTTGCACGGTTGTTCGTTACACATAATTGATTCCCCGATAAATAACCTAACCAATTAGGTAATGCTAATTTCTAATTCATCCCGAAATCGATCCGAACTTTCAAAGCGAATAAAAGAAACTTTTTATCATCGTTCATTATTTTTGGATTAAAATCGAGTAACAGGATTTCACATCTGAAAATTCGATCCAAAAGGATTTAATTGAACCGATAAAATAAACGATATTCTACTATCTATTATACGATACTTTAATATTAATACATAAGTTTGCGTATTTCATCGTTGCCAAATTCACAGTTCTTATTTTGCAATTCTTGGCTGATCGGTTGGCGACTCGAGCCAATGACACGGATAATAAAGCAAAGCTGTTGCACGGAAAATTCTGTGAGTTACGGGGGCGAAAATAGGTCGTGGAATTCGAGTTCCTTCAAGATTCGATTCCTCTCTCCAACGAGACGTTTTGGGAAAGTTTTTACTATTGAATAACGAGAGAATGTCGTCAAATCTAAAATAGCTCTACCAGTGTCTCGCCATATTTCTAACAAGCGATCCCTCGCAACGCAGAGGGTAACACCAATAAAACCGTACAAATGTGCCGAGTATCGCACGAATATCACGCACGACCACTCCAAATCCTGGATATCGTTCGAGAAACGCGTAGAATAAACCAACGTTCCAACGACGTTTCGATCCCCGAAGACAAAGGTCCAGCATCGTATCATCTTTACGACTGCCCGGCACGTCTCCCTCTCCACGATCCTTCGAAGCTCAGAACAGAGAGAAAGAACACGGAACATTAATTCGATCCACGCGTTCCCCCGCGGTCAAATTGCCCCTCCCTCGTGTACATCCGTCGGAGAGGAAAGTTTCGTGAAACGCGTAAATAGCGTTCCCTGATCCAGATCGAGCGATCGAAGCGGGGAACAGGATGCATCTTTCCCCCTCCCCCTCCTTTCCCGTTTTCTTGGAAAAGTTTGGCGCGTGTCGATTTCAATTCTCGACGAGGCGTAACGGGCCGCCTTCGGGCTCGATGAAACTTTCAACGCGGCCCGATAGAAACGCTCCAGCTGTGGTGGCTGCTCGTTTCGTTTCGAGGGGCTCGGGAAGATTTTCAACAGCCATGCCTCTTCACGCTCCGGGATCTTCACCCTTTTCACCCCGATCGCGGGGGTTGGACGCGGGGTTCGTCGACCGTTTCGACCCAAGTACCATCTCGCCGACCAACTTTTCCTTCCTTTCCTCTTGTTCCTCCCTCTCTCCTCGCTGCACAGGGGTCGTAAACAGGGCGGAACGAGTCAAAGGAGGCGAATCTCTTCGTGGAGCGTGGAATACATCGCGATGATCTTCATTTGGAGAAGCTCGGTCGATCGTAATTACGAAAGATCGAAATTTGCCTCGCGTCGTCCTTTCAACGATACAACCTTTCCACACGTATGTACGAATGTTGGTTTTGGGTTGCAGACTGCGGGAGTTCCCCGTGCCTGGGCGACGCACGGGGGCGAGGACGTGCCGGTGTTCGCGATCGGCCCCCTGGCCAACGTCTTGTTCTCCGGCAGCGTGGACCAGAGCTACATACCTCATGCGATCTCGTACGCCTCCTGCCTGGGCCACCACGCGGCCCGCTGTTCCCGGGACTCGGCATCGAGCAACGACACAATCAGCGTCCCGATAAGCTGTCCCTCGGCGGAGCCGAACAGCGCCGCGATATCCAGCGACGTGATGAACGACCAGGCCAGAAATCCACCCACCAAATCCGCCGCGCCCCTCCTCCCCTCGCCGGCCACTGTTCTCCTCCTCCTGCCCCTTGTCCTCCCCGCCCCAATACCGTCCCTCCAGGGGACGAGTTAATGCCCGTCAGACCCTCTTCCGGTGAATAGTTCCAACCTACATCCCACTCTCTCTCTCTCCTCCTCCTCTCTAATCCAGTCGAGGACGAGACAACAGGTGATCCAACGACTTTGGGATTAACAGGGCCGAGGAGGAGGGCGAGAAGGGAGAAGAGTTTTGGTTTGAAATCATCCGGACGAGGAGTACGGTAATAAAACCGAAGGTCTGTTCAATTCGTCACTTCCCTTGCACGGGGCGAGAGACGACGGAAGTGGAGGGTGTGTGGAATAAGGCGGGAGAGGGATACGCAACACCACCGAATTCGAATTTCCGCACGCGCGCGGATACGAGCGAATAATTGATCGGCCCATCCGATACCCGGAACCTCCTTCGATCAGTGAGCAACGCTGCCTATTCTCCCCTGGAACCTGTTCGTAAAATCCAGGGATATATATATATAAATATGTACGATTAATGTACGACAAGTACGGCAGGTGTCTCTTATCTCGCGTCGTGGATTGATCTCTTATTAACGGCGAAGAAATTGATACACAGAGAGAGAAAGAGAGATAATTGTTGGAGAGCGATGGGTATCGGATGGTGGAGGATGAAAAGGAGGCGAAGCGAAGTAATTTGGTAGTGGAGCGAGGCGTGTCCGAAAAAGTTCATTGTCGGAATCTATGGAGTCCACCCAGTTGGACCGAGAGAGAGAGAGAGAGAGAGAGAGTTAATGACGGTCCTTGCCTAATTTCGCGAAGAATTTTAGGCGCAAGAGGGGTGGTGGAAAGCGGTTCACGAGGGACAATTTGCGACGATAATGACTATCCCAAGGCGGCTCGGTGAACTTCCACCGACTTTCAAAGCTTTCGCAGAATCTAAATGGGGTTTACAAGTGCTACGTGACGAGGATACTTGATCCGGGACCCACCAACGATTATCCGATAGACTCGACCTCGGTTCGATTAAGGAGGGAGGAGAAGGAGTGGTGTCGTCTCGATGCGAATCATCCAAGAATCGTCTAAGCGTGTTTCTCTTCTTTCGAAATTTGGCGAGCGTTTCGTTGTTGTCGCTCGTAATAAGTTCGAGACGTGGAAAGGAATCTTTTTTTCGAAAATTGTGAAATTACGATCGATCGTTCCTTCGAGTATCGAATTCTGATCTTTTATAATTCGACAACGATGAAGATGAATGGAATGGACTCGAATATTTCCATAGGGAAATAAATTCTTCCGTTGTTTTTTCGTTATTTTCCTTTTTTTTTTTTTTGTTTTCTAATTTCAATTCGTCCCATCGAAACGGAATATCCATCTCTATTTACGTTTTCGAGGCACGTTTGCTCGAGAACGAATCGACTGTAAATTTGTATGATAGAATAAAAGTATTTGATCGGCAACGATGTGATATATAATTCCATCGAGTATATCGTCTATCGAAATTATTCTTGTATTATGACGTACGTTTGTTCGTTCGTTCGTTCGTTCGTTCGTTTCCATTTCATCGAAACTATATTCCATGTATGAGTACACTGTGAAACTTGAGGAACGTTTCAACATCCTTAATCAATCGGTTTCGTTTGACTTTTGGAAATAAATTTCGACCGCGATAGCGTATTATATTAACGAGTTGAGCTACGCTGGAAACGGATAGAATGCAAATAATGTCTGTAAAACTGTATTTTATATAACCATTTTCATTAATATTAGAAGGGAAATTTTGAGATTGGAATACGAGCGAGAATCGGGGCAGGACTCTTAAGAAGAATTTAATTCAAATTTATGATAATTGGGTCTGTGATATCGAGTTTAATAGCGATCCCTCATCCCTTAAGAATTTTCAAGGAAACATCTGAATTTCCTCCTATTTTTTTTCTTCTGTCCTCTAGAAGGATGGAATGTCGATCAAAGCGGTGATTAGAAGGATCGCGATAAAAATGGGGGATCAAGAGAGTCCGAGTAAAGATTCCCGATCGATCAGAGGTGACACAAACGACCTTTTTACGAGCGACGAAATCAGATTCACTTTGATCCTGGATTACTATCCGCATTGAAAACGAGATTCTCGAGGCGTTCCTCGAGGAGCATCTTCATTTCGAGATCTTTTTTAAAATTGCCTTTATCGATAACGCGCGCTTATTCCTGTTTAATAAGCCTATCGTTACCTGTAAAATTACAAAAAAAAAAAAAAAAGAAAAAAAACCGAACTACTAGTTACGCTTGTATCGTTTCAACAGAGAATCATTTACGATACGTGAGAAGAAAATTTATACCCGGACACAATGTATCCACTACGTGCGTTATTTCGAAATAAAATCGGTACGTAGATGGAATGGGGAAATTTTTCGAAATACCATCATCGTATTTCTGCCTTACGGAATCGTCCCGTTGAAAATTTTAAAGCGTGCAAGGCGGGGAATTTGATATCGTTTTCGCACGTGCTCATCGGAACGTTCCACTTTCAGCCACGTTGCGGATATATCAGCAGCCAATTCATCCATTCCCGCATTCGAAGAAACTTAATTTTCGAAGAAATTAAATTGGTCGCAGTTCTCGTTTATATAATATAAAACGCATCGATCTGGTAATGAACGAAATGTGAAACGGTAGTCTGTGAAGGATTAGTTCGCAAGAAGTATACATATAATATGTATTTATTGTTTGTACTTTTTGTTACTTTAATTGTTTTACGCCGTTTTAGTAGGATCTTTATAAATTGCAGGAAGATTATTTTCGCTTGTGTACATTTCACGACGAGAAGCATCGCGACGAGAAGAGTATTGGAACTAATCAATTTTCGATTAGCAAACACTGGGATCGGAGTGCAAAAAGTTGATTCGATATTTCTTGTTGCTCTGTGTACAACGTGTTTTTCGGTACACAGCAAGATCTGAAAACGGACAATTTTCTCGTGGATTATCTCTCTTGCCAATGCAATCGTTATGATCGCTCGTTACCCGAGGTTAAAATGATCGATCGAAATTTCTTGTTGTCGAATTTAATTTTTTTTTTTTTTACTTCGTACACTTTCCTTTTCTCTCTCTTTCTCTCTTTTAAACGACATATCAAAACGAGATTTGGAATAAAGTTTGGGAGGATTGAAACATCAATCTATCGTTAATTGTTCTTTCTTCTTGGATCGTTACCGAGTTCGAGCGGAGTTAAATTTGTCCGAAAAAAAAAAAGCGCGACAGACTTTGCACAAACGTCAAATGGCAAGATTTATGCGCAGCTGTAAGGGAGGGCAATGATCAAACAATAGACAGGGCATTCGAGGCAAAACAAACTTTAGTTGCAAAGTTTTAAGAAAGATTTCACTTCGAGTTAACAACCGAGAAAGGGGAAAAAAAAAAAAAAGAAAAGAGAGATTGGTCGAGGTTAACTATAGAGTTTGAAAAACGACCGTTTCAGCTTTTTACCGAACTTTAAACGGAGGAAAACTCCTTGAACCATCGTTTCCTTTGATACTCTTTTAAAAATCGTTCCTTTTCACGTTTCTAATCGTCTTTTTTTTGTCTTGTTTACAATAAACGTATAATTCTAACCGATCGAACCGTTGTTTCAGTTTTATGGTAATCGAAAAGTTTCACAATCTGTTTATGAATCTTTAACGATCGGATAAAAGTTAAAGGAACAGACGTGAAGGCGTTCAATTTTTTCTTTTCCGCTAAATTTGAATTTTTATTTGATCATTTGTAGAATTTTAATGCGAATCGCATAATAAATTAAATCGCATAAAATGTGCACGAATTTATATTTCGTCTCTAAAAAAAAATATCGGATACTTGTACGTAAATTAAAATTCAAAAATGGAAAAGTAAAATGGATAATGCAGGATTTTTCCTGTGACGAAGTAAGCTTCAGCTTTGAACTGTAAATCCTCGATTGCTTTCTTCCCTTTCTTTAGAATTTTCATTATTATATTCACGTATTATCATGAGAAAACCAAGATGAAAGTAACGTCAAAGTTGAATGGTAGATATGAGAGGTACATCTAATATTCTAACGTTGAAAAGTTTTCCAGTTATTGACAAAATTACGTTGGTTTCACGTTATAAAATTAAAAAGCCAAATATTACCAATAATCCATTTCACCATTCGAATATGAGATGGATTTACGTATTTTCCATCGTGTTCGCAAATTATTTACTCGAATTTCAACAAAGGAAAGCCAATAATCAGAAAACAATTGGCACAATGTACATTAAATTATTTTTACGAATCGAGTCAACTAGAACACGAACGTTCGTGTAAAATAATTCAGGAATCGAAAAAGCATCGTTTTAATAATTTTTTAAAAATATTTCGAATATTCTGGCGACAGAGTATGCTCGAAGAGGGAATTAACCGAAGACGGCCTAGATCTTTCTCTGTCACTCGAATCCCTCGACTGATATTCGACAGTAAGATGGCATTTTCAACTAGCTTCCGTCGTGGAAATGCCTTATCGAGTCGAAGATCATCAGAGTGAAGATAATGATTTGAGGGAAGAAAAATCTCCAAGGTGATTTGCGTGAGAAAAGCTAGAAAAGAATATACTTCATACTTGGTTATTGAAATGGAACGCTAGAAACCGAGAAATTTTTTTGATAGTTTATCTCTTGGATTTTTCCTTTTTCTTTTTCCTTCTTTTGACGCGTCTGGTTTGCACAGTTCGTTTAGCAGCTTTTCTATAAACATCTTGGACAGATTCTTTGGAGACAGGTCTTCTTTCATAAGCTTCTTTCTCTTCCCTTTTTGGCTTTTTTGATAAGGATTCAATATCGCGCCGGTTTCTAAGTTATTAGCCACGTTAATTAAAGATTAAACGTGAAAAAGCGAATGTTCGTCGAGATTAACTTCCCTCGAATTGGGACTCAAAGATATAATATTCAATATTAAATTTTCAATATTATTTCATCGAAAAATCCGTACAAAAATTTTGCGGAAGCAATTGTAGCGGAACAGCGATATGGTAAAGAATTTTTTCGAAATTTCATCGAAAGGAAACGTGTCACGTGCCTCCTGTCTTTAAAAGCAATCACGCGGAACCAATATCTTCAAAAATGGTCAAAAAATTCGCCAGAACGATAGGGATCCGCGCAATTTATCGAACGACCCTTGTACACGCGATAAAAGCGTATCTTTCACCACGAAAATGAACCAACCTGCGCTGTGGGAAGGCGAACGAAATATCGCGTTTCCCCAGCGAAGAGAATACCGGGTTGCAGATACATCTCAACTTCTTTCCGTTACGATCCATGTTTTACGCTCCCATATTTTCAGCTGATCGTCCATTCCGATAGAGAAAAGATTTTCGAGGACCAATAAAATCACGCGATTAAACGTATTCATCGCGTTGGAGGACGTAAATAACGGTGTAAACAATTTTTGCGATCCATGTAAAACGCTCGTGTCGTCGAGGAAAAACAACATCGTCCAAATTGATGAGCCAACTTATTTCGTAACTTTGACTAATTCGACAAAATTTATATCTTCCGATTAACCCTAATATCCTCTGATCCTTTCAAAAATAACCCCACGTTTTTCACATCCTCGAAGGTGTCCTCGATCCCAAGTTAAAATCCCAGCTCGAGTCTTTCCCTCCTTGAACCCCCTTTCCTCGTATATCGTATATCGATAACAATTCCACCCAGCTCTGAACGATCTTTCGAGCAATCGGTCTGCCCGAGCGTAGATCAGGCCGACTCGAGGATTAATCCGGTGGAATAGGGAAAAACTGGAGCGGGTACCTCTCCACGGTAGATTTCGAGAAATCGAGCCGCTCGTGATTGAATCGTGCGAGATAGATATATCCTCGTCCACCCCTTCTTCCTCTTCTTTCTCTACCTTCCCTTCTTTTCCTTCGTCCTCGCGTTTGTCCTCACGGTTAAAAATCCGAGAAGGAAAAATTAATTTCAAATTGCGCGAGAATCGACGAGTCGATGCGACGAATTAATCGCGGTCGAGAATATCGATACGAGGGAAAGAGAGAGGAAGAGAAAGAAAGAGAGAGGGAGGAGGGATTAAAGAGCAGCTCGAAAAAGACGGACGTGCAATATCGTCTCCCCCGATCGGAATCATCTTTCTTTCGGGATCGATCAATGCATCGAAATCATAGCAACGGTTCGAGGGTTAATTAACTTCTCGTGGAGGGTGACTATCGCCGTATCGATCTTCATTATCGACCTCGATTCGAGCTCGGATTGGCCCAGTTTGGGGAAAATACGGGATAACGGGTTTTTATGGTATTATTGATTATTTGATAGCTCCTCATTTTTACTCGCGTTTAAAATCGAAGTGAGAAAACGTAATTAGCGATAATTAAATATCGAGCCGCCCTGGTATCGATATTCGAGTCGAAATTATTATTGGAGAATAATGTCGGGGACGGGTAGAATTAATAATGAGGGAGGAGTGGTTTGCGAGCGGAAGGAAGCGAGAACGTCTCGAAGGATAATTCATTTTTAATTGTAAATTTATTAATTGTTCTCGATCAGCAATATTTCGTTATTATCGATGCATATGCGATTATCGATATAACGAGAGCGGCGTGGCTTGATTTTTTGATGCCTGATTTGGCGATATATATATATATATATTTAGATATTTACACGTTATTTTCGATTTGCTCACTGTACAACGAAGTCACGAAGCGTACGAATCCGACGTGTGCTCATTATGGTGTTTAAGCGTATTTTGAAAATATCAATTGATACAGGGTCTTTTGCGAAAATTGTTCGGAAAGGGGAAAACGAAGCAACAAGTCAATAATTGTACGCGTATTTTATACGATCGATACTCAATTCTTTGCATCAATTTAGTTCCACGCGATTCGAACGAAACCTCGATCGTCGAATCGATTATTAATGTCACGCGATCGATCGAAGCGAGAGCGTCAATCGCAGGCGACAATAATGTTGGAAACCGAGATAGATAAAATAGAGGAAGACAGTGATAAGTGGAACGATTAGAAGCGCGGAACAGATTAGAAGGGTGAACGCACGAGAAGGTGGAATCTAAAGTTCAATCCAAGATTCCACGCGATTAGAAAAGCAACTTTATCAATTAAGATGGCACGAACGAGCTTTGAAACAGGAAAATGTCGTTTCGCGTGAGTGTGGACCCCGATCAGAGACCGGAGGAGGAGGAATGGTGTCCTCGATTCTGCCTCGCTTCCCCGACAATACGATTGTTCTGGGCTGTCGAAACGAACCGTACTTTCAACGAATCCGTACTTTACACGTAGCGCTTTATCGAGCATATTAAAGACGCCCATCCATCGTAGATCGAAAAGTAACGCAGCGAGGAGTGTGAAGTGAGTGACGAAAAAAGAAATCTCGATTGGTTTTCTCGACGTAGAAGGGGAGGGGATGACGTTCGTTCATACGTGATGTTCATAAATAAAAGGAAGAGAGGAAACGGATAGAGCAGGCTTTAAATGTTGATCACGTTTCATTGAAATTGTCTGTTATACGTCACGTTTATCCGATGCGTGCGTGCGAGTGTGTTGTGTGCGTGTTGTATACGTGCGTGTAAAGTATGAGATGTACAATGATTGTCGTCGTCGTCGTCGTCGTCGTCGTGCAAGCCTAGCTTAACGTTTCTCGGCGAAACTCGAATCGACGAGTTTTAATCGTCGCGATTGTGAAAGCACGATATTTCGTGAGACCAAAAATGCAGCATAGGGAAACGAGCTCACCGATACGTATATACATATAAGGAAGTAAATATATATAAATATAAATATAAATATATTTCTGTAAATAATGTGGACACGAATTATTACAAATGGGATTTACTATAGATATCTGTATATTATTGTTTCATAAAAAAGAGATTACAGAAATGTGCGCACACGTTTCATTTATTTCCCCCCTGAAATTCTCATCCCTAATCTCGGAGAAGAAATCGATCACAATCGTTTTCTGGATCAAGTTCTTAAAAAGGTACGTATCGATGGAATGAAAAGTTCGATAAAAAAAAAACATCCAGGAAACTAGGAGGCGAGGAAATCTCGAGATACTGCGCGGTAAAATCGGCATACGGATTTTTAATAACGCGATATTATCGATAGGTGGATATGGAGGACGAGGTACAATTCCCAATTTCCCAGTATTTGCCGGATGGTGGGAAACGTTAGCCATTAGGTAAGGGGATCCATCATCCGAGCTTTCGCTACCGGCCCTCCTCCTCATCGGGGAGGGTCTTGTGTAATGAAGTGCAACAGGGAAG